ATCATATCCGATATTATCATGAATTATAGAGACTATATAAACAGACTTTTTACTACTCTGCGATCTTAAAATGTATAAAATGAAATCCCTACTAACACTACTTACTACGGTGCTACTGTCTACTTGCGATCATAATAATCATAAAATTATTTTTTTTACTTGGTAGCGCCATGCTGCAGCTATTAGTAGTATAGTTGTAGTACGAATGGGTCGGATCGACCGGGTAAGGACCACGCTCTCACAGAAAACCAGCGTAAAATAGCAGCTTAACGTTGCTGTGTTTCGTATGGTGAGTGTGGAAAACCGGAGATCCTTTTTACTGGCAAAGAGGCATTCCATCTTCGTCCTCACGGGTGACAACGCATCTCTTTATCTATCTACACATTTACATCTTGAGTCTTACATCTACATCTTGAGTCTTTATTGAGGATGGATGTAGATGTCTATGGGTTACAGCAACCACTTACCATCAAGTGGACTGTGTGCACGTTTGTCACCCTATCCTATAAAAAAAATTAAATCCCAACCCAAGCATACAACTGCAAGACTTCCAAGATACTAAAAGCTATAAACTCGTTCTGCGTAGATTGGATTTCGTAAAACTTTTGTAGGATGTAAGTACTTATAAAAAGGTTAAAAACGACCCAACAAATAACACTTAAAACAACTAATGACCTCATAAAGAAACACTTCGCAAAATTAAAACTGGTCGAAAAATCGATAATACCTATTTGTGCCAAACCACCGAAGTTTTATGGGTTACCAAAAATACACAAGCCCAATGCTCCACTACGCCCCATAGTGAGCCAAATCGATAAATCGAATCGAAAATACTCTCACCACTCAGGGGCATACAAGAGCACAAACAAAGAATGCCTACCACTTTGTCAGCGTGATCAAAGATCTACATCTGGCAGACAATGAAATTATGGTCAGTTTTGATTTGACTGCACATCAAAACTGACCATAATTTCTCATAACTGGTCACATGCTTACCTGTTGAAGACTGCATCTCGATTTTAACTAGAAAGCTGGAAGAAAACCACATGCTCATAGAATATGCAGTATTGCTCAGACAAGAAGAATTCTATAAGCAAGTAGATGGTGTGACGATGGGCTCACCTGTATCTCCCATTGTCGCCGATATATTCATGGAAGATTTTGAGGAGAAAGCCCTACTACTTATTAATAAGTCTTTAGCTTTTCTAGATGTTTTAGTAGTTCGGAACCCTTATCGGATATCTGGGTGCTACCATCTGCTTGGAATTCTATATTTAATAAAATTAAATCCCAAACCAAGCAACACAACCAACAATACAACTGCACGACTTCAAGATACTATAAGTTCATACTGTGTAGATCGAAACAAAAATTAATAATTTTTATATAGAGGTAGCCGTGGTTAGCTATTACATTGGGACGTCAAACACCTCGCCCCACCCCTCTGCCCCGTCCATGGGTAAAGTGTTCGGAACGTTGGGAATTTAATATTATAGGGAATTTAATATATTCGGAAGTTAATATACGCGATAAAATCCTTCAAATTTTATTTAAATCCATAAAATTAGTTACATTCATGTGTAGTGTTAACATTAGTGATCATTATTGTGGATTGAAGAAACTTAAATCAAGCTCCTTGAAAAGCTTTTGAAGTGAACACTTCTTTAGCATTGTTGTGACTTGAAACTCTATGAAACCAAAAAGCGACATTTAAAAGAGACAAATATATAAATCTTTATGAGACAATGTGACAATCCATACTTAATATAATAAAGCGGAAGAGGTTTTCTTTTTTTTCAACATCATAATCTCTGGAACTATCAGTCCGATTTAATAATTTATTTTTGTTTATGATTGCCAGATTCACTAGGAATAGTTTATGATATCTACCATTAAACGTCTCCCACACAGAAGCGGCTTGCGGTGGCGGCTAGTTGTACTCACTTGCAATGTAAGAGAGTCTGCAAACGCGTGCGGCCATGTCGCGATCTGCGAGCGGCTGGCCGCGACCACAAGCTCCGCCCTTTTCGCGAACGCGTGTGTGTTAGCGAGTACGCGGCCAGTCAGTGGCCGCAGCGCGGTCAGTTGCTAATTTTTACAACAGGCCGCGTGTACCGCGTGAAAAATGTTGCAAAATTCAGAGATTTTAATAGAAACTGCAAAATTATCAAGTACTTTATGATAATTCGTATTATGATTACAGAAGCATTAAAATTAAAACAAAATATATGATAATATTGCTGAATATAAAAAGACTTCGTCACGGTTAGCCATGTTTACTGACGTCTAATCGTAGCACAGACACCACTGCGAATGGCGCTACAGGCCGCCGATGCGACCGCGGTGGTGTGTTGTTGCAGCGGTTGGAGCTGTGGCTTCTGGTTAACCGCCACCGCAAGCCGCTTGTGTGTGGGAGACGCTTTAGGCTACACCACTTCGCTAGCCTCAAATATTGATTTCTGTTAAGCAAGTCGTAAGAAAAAGCGCTCCCGAACTGCTTTATCCACGTACGCTGGCTTAATGGTTAGTGCTACGTAAATACTATATTCTACAAAAATATAGATCTTTTCTCCATCTAAAAAAAAGTCCTCGATACCATAGGCCTATTTCTTATACATAAGCCACAATAAGGTACTTTGTTATTATTATGCATGGCATATTAATCCTTACGAATGAAAGTTACTTCATCATCAAGATAATTTTATGAAAATAAACTTTGCTGTTAATAGCAATAGCGTTATTTGGTTAAAATAATACAACACCCGGCTCAACGCACGAACGACGCCTAACTACTCAATGAGAAACGAAAGTACTTAGCGAGATTTCATATCGCGCGGCTCAGCGTGATATACATTCCTTATCTTTCCTATTATCTCAGTCTCTTCTGTGTGCGGTGCTTTAGCGATCGTTAATATAACTTTCAACTCTTAAAATAAACAATTAAAAAAATTACAAATTTATTATCAAATAAATCAAATTAACAATATTGAATAAAATTATCATATCCAAATAATTCTTAACAATCTACGATTTCATATCTTAGCGATTTGTATTAAGCTAGCTGTTCCCCGCGACTTCGCCAGCGCGTAAAAGTATTACGATTGGATTTCATGGGTTTTAATTTTATGTGCGGAACCCTAACTCTTTTTCTAAAATAAAAGTAGCCTAAGTTACTTCTTATAACATCGTTATTCTATAAAAAAAAGTCAATATCATTGGACATGTACCTATATATGGCCACTCACAAGGTAAAGCAAGATAGTATTATCGAGGTGGGGCAATTTATTGACCAAAAACGTCATGAGCTGCAAGGTATTTCAGTTTCTGTTTTGGCCAGAGCAGTGCTCCTTAAAAAACATATGGTTTTTGCGGTATCCGGTGCAGAATCATTGGTAAAGGAATAAAGACAGAACATTATTTCCCGAAAACCTCTGTACATCTGAACATCTGTAATCATCTGAACAGTTGAACATCTTGCCTTAAATAATAAACTTAACCGGGATTTAAGTACGGAGGGTATTCAGCATTATGAATGTAGTATTTATGTTGAAAACATTTAAGCTAGGATATATGAAACACCTCTAATGATACAAATAAGAACTACGTAAATGATCTTACTTTAATCTTTAGAAGTGGAATTCGCCTGAACTTTATTCTATTTTTATATGTGGAAGAAATTCTCGAATATCTCTCATTTTCTACCGACTTCAAAAAGGAGATGGTACTCAATTCGACTGTATATATTTTTTTAATGTTTGTAGGTAACACACATAAAAAATATAACTTTTTACTGGGTGAACCGATTTCAATGATTCTTTTTTATTTGAAAGCTGGTGCTTCACATGTGGTCCCATATAAATTTGATCAAGGTCTGACCAAGTTTTTGAGTTATTCTTAATAATATATATTGAAGTCGGTTGTACAAAATTTTTAATTTTAAATTATACGTAGTTATGATCGTGATAATACACTTTTCTACGGTTTTCTGTGGCTTTTTAAAATTTTCGTCTGGCAATGCAATTCTGCATATAAAAGTTGGTAGGAGTTTTGGCGGGAAATTGACCGGCGGCGGTTTGCTGCTCCTGTATTATTGTTTAAATAATGGTTTGAAGTGGACTTTAATATGTAAAAGTGTTGCGATTTTGTGTATTAAGTGTCTACGCATGTGAACTATTAGTGGAAACAGTGAAACAAGTGCTCTGATGGTGATGGATTCTCAAGATAAGCTGTTTGTTTGCATAGGCACCTTTAGATACCATCGCCAACTATCAGCTGTCTGCTGGATCAAGTTGCCGCCAAAATCTCCCAAAAACTGCACAATGTGACGCATCAACATATTGTGAAGCAGTATACTATGAAGGAGTGGGGAAATTACAATAAACCGAATAAAATACTTAAGACTTGGCCTAAAGGTCTAGATACCAGGCCATAAACTCCAAAAAAAAAAAGTTGGTAGCACTAAAGAGCAATTCCTTTGACTTTGACAGTTGACGTTTTGTTGTGAGGTTATTGGTTGACACAAAAATAGTTTTGATAAATATTTGGAAACAAAACCTTTCCAAATATAGAATAACTAAAAATGAAACACTACCAACGTGCCGCTGAGTCAATTTAGAACTTGATCCAATACTAGTTATGTTATAAAATTGCTGATAGTTAATACTGTGAATATTTCTTTGTCATGACTATAGTTTTCCTATAATATCGATCGATTACGAAAGAACATTTGTTTAAAATTGTATTGTTGAATGTGCTCAAAGCAAAGCATTTATAAGCACGTTCACACTTAAAGATCCTAAAATTGGCTGTTACGTGCACAAGCCTATAGGAGGCAGATATTAGTAATAAAAAATGCGCTTTTCCTTATTTTTCAACTAAAACCTGCAGTAATATTTATATATTAAAAGCAATAACTGAAACACTATTGAAACCAAATCAACGACTAGAAAATGAGATAAATTATATGTGCATAACACCAATTAATATCGGAATTTACGTCCATGTATTGTTGCTCATTCCTGTAAGTACATGTTTTTTCGTTTACTCCTTGCAATATTAGTATCTCAGTTATTACCTATGTATTCTTTAACTATTTTTAAAACTAGAAATCATGTTATCATCATTACTTTTTATTTCTCAACCATATTAGTGTTTTTTTTATTGATATGTACTAAAACTTGTCCAGAGCTTTACACAATTAGTTCTATTATTATATATGTTTCTCATGGTTATTTCTCACGAACCTGCTAACTACACCTGTTATGTACAGTCCTTGTTTGAGAACACAAATAGAAAGATAACTGTTCAGTTCAATGAACTTTACTTTAGCAGTTTGTTTGACAAACTTGTACATCACCTGTACCATTAGATTTATCTTGTGTACTATAGAATAGTTCACACATGAGCATAGTAGCAGACCAGAATAAATGTTATAAAAGTTGTAGACTTTAGAAATTAGTGAAAATTAAGACTTGTGTCCTAAGTACTAACTTAACTGTACACAATCTTACACTTTTTCATCTATGTTTACCTATTAATAATGCCTGGTGTTATCCTTGGGAACTTTAAATGATAAGACTTATCAACGAAATGGCAATTTTTGTACCAGTATTAAAAAGAAAGGTTCTTAAAATTTATTTTTGACCTACATACTACTATTAAAAGGTAAATAGAATCTCAATTTTGTACACTAATGTAATCACAGTATTGTTTTTTTATTTGATTAAGGCCAGTTAATTTTCTAATATTGTTATATTACTAATAATTTTCAAAATATCACAGCTTGTATGACAAGCACATTTTCGAACCCCATTCAATTGAAGGCAATAAAATAAGTGAACAATCTGCACCAATTGATGATTCACAACTTGCAGAGCACTGTACACATTATCTCTTATTAACCAACTGTAAACAGGTTAGAGCAATTATTATGATTTATGTAACAACTAACAAGCTAATTTGACATCATATCATTTGCCTGATTACCACCATTGTTTCAATTGTTTTTTTATTAAATAATCCAAGTTTTGTGATAAAATATTTGTCACAATATGGAAACATTTTGAAATTTATTTTGTTCTGTAGACTGCAGAGAAATGACAGCAATTAATTTCTGACAGCAGAGTTATTTTCAACTCAAAAATGTCTATTTTTGTTTTACTTTTTATTTTTCCTTTCATTACATAATATGGAATTAATTATAATTCAATATTTAGTAACATGTCCAGTGTCATAGTTTTATTTAAATATTGTAATATGCATATAACAGTTCACGGCTGGGCGTCGGGATGGCGAGCATGAGTTCCACGCTCGTCGAGACCGTCTCCATCAACTATGAGGATTTTAATGAGAGCTTCCTCACATGCGGCACCTGTCTATGTTAGTACACCTTTTCCTTGCTATACATGAAATATTTCTTTTAATGCACATTTGATGAGCACATTAGCATATTATGTATGAAATTATATGGTTGTATATATTATATATAATATTTATATTATAAATATTTGAAAGATTTAACTACTCCTTAAAAATTTTGACCCTTTTTAGTCATAAACATTCTTTAATCTGCTTCATTTAAATCATGCTATTTATTTAACTAACATTTCTTTAGTGTGTATCATCTCACAAATATCTGTATTATTATACTTTATGTTGAATAAATGAACTAATAATAATTTATTGAATTTGATTTCAACTTATAATCAATGCTTTTATCAGTATTATAATATCAAGATTATGAATTTAAATTAATTAAGTCATCCTTTTTAAGTAATCTTGGATATCTTTTCAGGCACTTATGATGGAGGCGAACATACACCAAAGCTTTTGCCATGTTCCCACACTGTATGCTTACATTGCCTAACTCGAATAGCTGCATCACAAACAAGGGATGCTGGAAGCTTTCGATGTCCCATTTGTCGCGAGTTGATTACCATACCACGTGGTGGTGTGCCAGCATTACCACCTTCATTTCTCGTCAATCAGTTACTTGACTTAATGGCAAGACAACGAAGAGAAGTAATACCTCAGTGTAGCTCTCATCCTGGCAGAGAGCTCTTATTTTGTGAGACTTGTGATTGTGTTTTCTGTCGTCATTGCGCCGACGGCCCACATAGCGACACACCCTGTGATCATACTGTAGTGCCATTCTCAATTGCCTTAAAAAGAATGTCAGAGATATTGTTGTATAGAGCCAATGAATGCCTTAGTAAACTAGGTTCTGCTAGAGAAGCTGTTGCAAGTGAGCTAAGAAGGCTAGAAGCAGCCGCTACTGCAGCGGAGGAAGCAATTGACAGACATTTTGCGGAACTTAAAGCAGCATTAGATAAACGTCACAGTGAGCTGAAGTCAGCTGCGGCAGCCGCTGCTACGCATAAACGGAAGTTGCTTGAAGAACAACTAAAGTTGATTGATGCTGAAACATCCAAAGTAAGTAGGATTTAATTTTAATAGTACATGACGGCTCTGGTGCGCAGTAGCTTAGCAATCACTTGCAGAGCTGTGGGCTGTGGGTTGAAATTCCACACATAACAGGTATTTGTATGGCCTACAAATAATTGTTACGGGCCTGGATGTTTGTCCTTGTGCAATTTATGTTTGTAAACTGCCTCTATGATACAGGAAAAAATCCTAGTGTCGAGGTAACATATTTAAAAAAAAAGAAAAAGTTATTAAATATTAATTTATTATTAATTCTAAGTCAAAGTTTAACATTTAGTGTTGCATAGTATACAACAAGCCAGTTTATAAAATGAGAGAATATGAAGCCAATACAAGTTGGCAGATGATGGCATTGGCAAATTAAAACAAAATTTTGAAGATATGAATGTGGTTGAGTTGATTTTTTACCATTTCTTCATATACCATATTGTACCACCACAACTAAACAAGTAATTATAACTTGTAATATACATTACAATACTGAATTGAAATTATAAAAATACAAAAACATAGTTTTAAAGTGACTCCTATCTTTAGCATTTACTTGTATTTGAGATATGTGAGATTAGCTATCAGCTTTTGATCTACCTGGTGAAGTGGTTTCTTTGTGTGCACTGAAATGGATGTAACTTTTGTTGACTGAGTCAGTTCTTATTAAGATGAGAACACTCTTTTGGCGCTTCAACTAATCAACATTTCTGGGAAGTTTGAAAAAGGATGAACATAATTAGACAAGTTTCAATAAAATTAACTTGAACTAGGCAAAGTATTGATCTAATTTTACTCAGTTTCCCAAATTTTTTGCCCTTAGTCATTTTAAACAATTTTTCTCGTCGTTACGTTTTATTTATAAAGTACCTTAAAAGATGTGTTTTTTTTTTATATAGGACTAGCTGTTCCTCGCGACTTCGCTCGCGTGTTAGGGTTTTTATGTTTTTGCGCGGAACCCTAATTCTTTTTCTAAATTAAAAGTAGTCTAAGTTACTCCTTGTGACATCAGCTATCTGCCAGTGAAAATCCCGTCAAAATCGGTCCAGTCGTTTCGGAGATTAGCCGGAACAAACAGACAGACAGACAGACAAAAATTTTAAAAATTGTGTTTTTGTTATAAGTACCGTATATACTTTCATATGCAATTAGTAAAAAGCTGTAATTTTGACATTACAAACAGACACTTCAATTTTATTTATTTGTATAGATATGAGTGACAAACGAGCACACAGTCCACCTGATGGTATGTGGTTACTGTGACCCATAGACATCTACATCTATCCTCAATTACGAATCAAAATGCAGATGCGTTGTCACCCATGAGGACTAAGATGGAGTGCCTCGTTTCCAGTAAAAAGGGTCTCCCACACAAACGGAATCCCGTTTTGGACGCAAAATTTCGAACGGAAAACTACGGTACATGTGTGACGGGTCATAGATTTTATATGAACTTGCTGCGTTCCGAATTCTCGAATCGTAATTCCGAAACGGAATTCCGTAAGTATGTGCTGCGAATCCATATAAAATGAAGGACCCGTCACATACGTAGGTACGTAATTTTTTCGTATGGAATTTTCTCCCATTCGAGATTCCGTATGACCGCCTGTGAGTTTCGAATCCCGGACGGAAAAAACCGTTCCAAACGCAAGTCTTCCATAAATTTTGTATGAGTCGCAACACACATTCGTAAATTTCGTACGGATAGCGCTCAGTGTGCGTCGCACGATCGAAGCGAGTAGGCGTGTTTATGTATGTTTTTACATGTAATATTATATGTTTATCTCTTTTCGTAACCTTTCATCTTATTTTATTTAATAACTCGTCGAAAATTTTTACAGACATTCATATTTAAAAAAATATCTTTGGATAAATAGATCCTTTTTACATAATATTTACTATATTGCAATCTTAGGGTGATAAGGGGATGCACCCAGTAACAATGATACAGCAAAAAGGGAATGGCAATCAGAAAATCGTCGTCATTATTCGGTGGCATAATGTCTAGACTCAATGGCTTGCGTCTCTCAACTGAGCCTTGTTATTCCGAACGGAAATAAACGTATGCGTGTGATGTATTTACGGAATCCCGAAACGGAATGCTTATGTATGTGGCTGGCCTAAGTCGTTGTTTTCGGAATAGTTATTAAATAACCTCTAAGCTCTTGGTATAAAACTGTTACCTTCTACAATTAGTATGACAAGATGGAACAAGGAGTAAGGCCCGCCACATACATACGGAATTCAATTTCGGGATTCTGTTTCAGAATTTCGATTCGGCATTCCGAACACAGGAAGTATATATAAAATCAAGGACTCGTCACACGTACGTAATTTTTTAGTACAGAATTTTCTCCGATTCGAGATTACGCATGACCGCCTGTGTTCGGAATCCCGAACGGAAAAAAACCTTCCCGAACGCAAGTCTCCCATAGGTTTTGTATGAGTCGCAACACACATTCGAAAATTTCGTACAGAACGCGCTCAGTGTGCGTCGCGCGGCTGAAGCGAGTAGGTGTGTTTATGTATGTTTTTATACGTAATGTTATACGTTTATCGCTATTCGTAACCTTTCGTCTTATTTTATTTAATAATTCGTCGAATGAGTTTACGTACATTATTATTATTTATTAAAAAAAATATCTTTGGATATATTGATCTTTTTATATAATATTGACTATATTGCAATCTTAGGGTATTAAGGGGATGCACCCAATAACAATGATACAGCAACAATGGAATCGCAATCAGAAAATTGTTGTGATTATTCGGTGGCGTAACATCTAGACTCAATGGCTAGCGTCTCTCAACTGAGCCTTGTTATTCCGAACGGAAATAAACGGAAGTGTGTGATGTATTTACGAAATCCTTAATCAGAATTCCGAACGCCACAAGTCCATGTAAAATCAAGGACCCGTCACACACGTACGGTAGTTTTCCGTTCGAAATTTAGCGGGCAAAAGGGGATTCCAAATATGTGTGGCCGACTCGTTCTGAATTCCGAAACGGAATCCTAATACATTTTTGCGTAGTTTTTTAACAGGGGCTCTTAGTAAGATTTTACTGAAAAGCTACTGACAATCCATTTTACTTTGTGCGACTTTTATTAGAAAACAGACGTCAGCTATGTCTCTGCGTATGTTTAGAGGCAATAGGTGAGGTCTTGTACAATATATATTTAATTTATACCTTTTTATTTTGACGATTAAATTGAAACCTTCATTCAGCTTTGCTTTAGCATGGAGACTGATGCATTTAACCTCATTCTAAACGACAGCCATTAAAACAATTGAACCCTTTTTTGCACCTAATAATTAAAACTATGATTGAATATCTTTGCCTTAAGTACACATTGTATTCATATAAATTTTATGATACCGAAAATAAATGTCGCTTCACGTTTATTTTTGGAATCATAAAAATTTATTTTTGGAATCATAAAAATTTATTTTTATTAAGTTAGAATTTTACGCATCAGAAATATTACAAAACCGTTACAAAACCGGCACTTTCCTATTAAAATAATCAACTGGTTTTTTAACATTTCAGTCATTTTGCGTTTCACCAGATGAATGTTTGAAAAATGCTTAGATACACGAAAGTCGATAGTACTACCTACTTTGAAAAGATGGAATAACAAAAAAGTCACAGACCTTTTTTAATTTTGTAAAGAAGAAAAATGCAACTTATACATTAAACAATTCTATTGAATCAAATTATTATTATCCTTAGCCAATATTTTTTATTACTACCATTTATAAATGAATCGCAATCATACATTACATGTATCTTTATATATAAAAACTAGCTGTGCCCGCGACTTCGTTCGCATGTAATCTTTTTCTCCAATTCTTTTATATTTTCAAACCGAGTATATATAATGATATGTTTATTATAATCAAGCAGATTATTTTATGCCTACCTGAACGTTAGCTTCGTGAAAAAGGCTAAAATAGATCAAATTTTTTACTTTTAATTTTGGATGACTTGACGGCCAGGATTAGCCATTTTATGATAATATCCACATTTTAAGAAAACGTAATGCCAGCTATCTACTACCATTTCTGGTTTTTGAATAATAAAATCTTAATAAATACAAAACAAGGAGTCAAAAAGGGGATATTAATATGCAATTTAATTTAATGGTTTTATTTATTATCATATATAATGGTTTTATTTATTAACATATATAATCACGGTTTTGTTAGAACTTCAAAAGTTAAAAATAAACGTGAAAAAAATATATGCAGTTAATAAAGGACCTCTTCATAAACAACGTTCACAGTTTTGTTTTGTGGTGCTAAAATAAACAAATTAGTGGGATCGCTGATACGCGACATTGCCACATAGAGCTGCCCATGTGAAAAGCAGCTGTTCGTAAGGTCAACGCCTACTCTGCTTAGCGTTTGACCCTGTGCCTTATTTATTGTCATTGCAAAGCAAACACTCACCGGCAGTTGGATCCGTTTAAAACGAAACGGAAAGTTATTCGGAATAATCGGTATTCGTGGAATAAAAACTTTCTCACCCGCACCGCAACCGGTAAGTATCTCTGCCTCAACCACATGTCTCTGGAGAGCAACTACTTTGAGCCGAGTACCATTGCATAATTTTGGTGGACTTAAATTTCTTAAAAGAATTATGGGGACCCCTACCTTAAGTTTAATTTCATGTGCAGGAAGCCCAGACGCCGTTAATGCATTCAAAAACTCTACAGGATAAGCTGTTACTTCTTCACGGTCAACTACTCTATTTATTGACGTATAGGTAACATTTTCCCCTTCAATACGTTCTAAAATGGTCATGTTGATACTTACAGCTTGATCATTACGAGGCGTAAGTATAGCGCGCTCACAAAGCCAAGAGTTTCCTTGGTTTATTATACCAGCCAGATCTTCATAAACAGATACAATAAGTTCCTCAATGTTAAGGACTGTTTTGCACAAATTATTAATCAAATCTATTCTACCATCAACCTCAGGAAACCTACCTTCACCAAT